ATCCCTTATCGCAAATATAATGAATTTGATCAATGGCGAGCGTAATAACCCCTACCTCAAATATAATAAATTTGATCAATGACGAACGTAATAACCCCTTCCACAAATATAATAAATTGTAATGCTAACCACAAATGTAACAAAAATATAGTAACACTCAACCTCAAATGTATCAGTTCAATACTGTTACAATAACATAAATTATTATAAAATAATATATGAATGCGACTATCTTACAAATTTATTTTTATAATATTCTTTGAATTTACTTCTTCCCCGAGTTTCCTAACGTCCTAAACATTACGTTTCTGGGAGACGTGGGAATGTACCTCCGTGTGACCTTGGCATGGTGAAAATTAAGTTTTATCAAACATAATTCGAAAATATATTTAGTGATGCATAAATATCATCATATATGATTATTGTATCACTGGTGACAACCACGTGAGTCAAGACAAGGTCAATGAGCCTGTTATTATGACATATGTTTCCAATTAGCTTCGGTCCGGTTCATTCAGAGCCGAACATACACTTGAGAATCAATATATTCTTAATATTTGAGAATATGTTTTGAATTAGACTACGGCTTTCTCAATTATTTGATTTTCTGTGTTTTTTAATTGTATTCATTATTCCCCATTCCATTGGATATTAAGTGATTAGATAAACTCATTGAGTCTGTTGTGTGAGAGCAGCATGGCTGGGGATAATGTTGCTGTCTTGCTAATGTCAGAGTGACAGAGATTTTCAAGACTGGACCTGCGAGTAGACAAGTAAGAATGCAGCGAATTGTGCCAGTTTTCGTCAATAAACAAAACTTATTTTCGCAATCATGTGTGCTGCATTTCAAAGTACAGATATGAAAATGATAAGAAGTTGGAATAAATCGTAAAGACATGCATGTAAAACGGTTGAGAACATGTTCGAATGTTGGTGTTTTTGTATCAATAATAGAATAGTTGAACACACAAATAGACAGAAATATATGTTCCCGTTTCGGAAACAGCCTGAAAGGATTTATCAATTGAATAAAGCATACACAAATAACTCATGAGCATTTTTTTGGCAAACGGCATTACTTTGTGTACTCTGCACAGTTTTGAAAAAAACGCTACATCCTGTGGCGGGTTAACTATGTAGAGTTGTGAAATTGTAGAAGTGTCTATTTAATTGTATAATTAGTTGGGGAAAACTCAAATGTTTTTAAATAGTCTTTACTATGTAACGGGTCCTAATTATGGGAATGTGGATACAATATTATTGGCAAGCCTATAACGACGCTAGTTTCTATGTCGCTGCTTTGTTATTTCACAACCCATTGTACACAACGAATTGCCGTTTAGTGGTAAATCGTTGGGTACTATGAGTTGTTTGATAAACTACCTGTATCACGCGGCAGACGATATTTATTCATGATTATGAAATGGCTAATACAAAATAGTATAATAAAGCTTTCTGCCAAGTTTGTTGTCAAATGGCAATGAGTTGTTTATCCTGGGTGTGTTTTGAAAGAACTGTTGGGAGGTGTTATGTGTGAGTACATAATTGTACAATTTGTTTGGTGTGAAAAAAACTTAATTTCATCATGGCATGGCATCCCGGTATGTTGTTTTTTAATCCGAGTTATTTTTTGAACAAACAAAATAATGTGACAGGAGTTAACTATGCAGCACTGGGGGATGATAGATGTACTAGATATATAACTGTATAAATCCGGGATTACCAGCACAATATTATGGAATCAATAGTTAATGACAAATTGTCCAATCTTGTTCCAATTTGGAAGTTTTATTGTTTTCATATACATTGTACTTTTTAGTACCATCCCCAGTCATCTGGTTTCATATGGTCGCTGAATGCAATCAGCTGTTGCATTTGTATGTTTCTATATGAGTTGTCGAATAAAATCATCAAATGTGAGTGAATTATATGACCCTCCAACGACGTTACCATTGCCATCCAATTTAATGCCACTTTCACTCGTAAATTTGAATCGTCTTGGCTTTACAGTGTGCAACAAATACATGTGTATGTTACACCACAGAGAGTTGGATTGACTTGTGTTAATTTATTATGTATGCAGTACACACTATATAATGCAAACGAAATTTCAAAATGTTAGTCTCTCATTAAAAAAAGTCATAGGGTTATTTTCATACTGCATGATACATCAAATCAATAATCATGACTTCTGTAATAGCGTCCTCTGCGTCAAAAATAAAAAGAAAACAAGGATACTAATCACAACTATAGAGGGCCTAAATCACAATAGCAAACCTTAATTATGGAAAAAGGTTCGATATTATGCTGATATTGATAAAATAGTGAAACTAAAAAATAATTATTGTAAATAAATGATAAAAACTCAGACTACAGCCACCCCAAAAATCTTTAATAATTCCAAAACATAAACAATAGCAGATCCTATAATTTCAAATTTAATAAATAAAATTAAATCCTCAATAACACACTAACTCCCCCGCCCCATACACATACTTTTCCTAATACCTACTCACCTACCCATGATACAGCAATTCTAGATAATCAGGAAGATCCCTGCTATAATATGGGCTTGGAATGATAATATACATATTAAAAGGTACTATAATTTTAAATTGAATAAATTAAATCCCTAAAAACACACACTACCAATTCCACCGAAGCTTTAATATGCGCATTATAAGAATTAGAAACAGGAACCCACAATTCCAAAACGCAAAGTAAGCTTTCAATGAAATAAGGCTTAAATAGACGAAGTTTGTTTACAGAATGAGTGTCAGCAGCCTTTATTGCTATGATTTGTTTAATAACTTAAACCTTTCAAATAGAAGTGTGCAAGGAATCATTGGACGAAACTGTGTGCATTGCCGTATGATAACTGTATAAAGGTGATTGACAGGATATATTTGTTTACAACTCAATATAATATTACAATATAATACTGCAATATAATACTACTATATTGCAACAATTTTTGCATTTTCATTCTTATAAAGGACGCCATACACCAGTCACGCACGGGGTCCGGCACAGAATATCGCGGAGAAGGGAGTATATTTGTATGTAAGTTCGCATATCTACGAAAACCGAAAAAGTATACACTTTTTGGCAACGCTATATCTTGTTTTGGAAGCTTCGCTTGAACTAAACACATCCAATGAATAGAGGTATTAGAACGGGACGAGGAGACAGTATGTCTTCGAATTCTTGGACAAACATGAAAAATGGGTACTTATTGCAGAACATTCACATCTCCTACCAGAGAAGTGTCCCCCACTCACCAACAAGCAGCGAGCCAGGCAAGTTCGTATAATAGCTACAGTGCCCGGGACCACTGTATTATTATTGTTAGACTGCCCAGACCATGTATTATAATAGCTGGACTGTCCATACCATCGTATTATAATAGTTTAACTGCCCCACGACCATCGTATTATAATATCTAGACTGCCCAGTCCTACCGTTTTATAATAGCAAGACTGCCCCCTCCAAGAAAACACACCATCGAATTATAAAAGCTAGATTGCTCCAGAGAATCGTATTTTAATCGTCATACTGCACCAGAAAATCGTATTACAATAGCTACACTGTCTATACTATCGTATTATATTAGCCAGACTGCAGCAGTACCACTGTATTATAATATGTATACTGCCCGAGACTATTCTATTATCATAACCAAACTGTCCCAAACCATCGCATTACAATAATATGACTGGTCCAGTCCATTGTATTAAAATAGCAAGACTGTACAGACTATCGTTTATAATGACTACACTACCCGAGTCCAATGTGATATATTTATTATTATTATTAAATCTTTATTGCAGGATATAAAGTGAAAAGTTCGTAAATCCAATAATAAAAAAGACAACAACAACAACAAAAGACAATAAATACGAAACAAACAAACAAACAAAGAAAAAAACGAGTATATAAAACGACTTGACTAATAAATTCATTGTTCTAGCGTTACGTAGCTGTGATGTATACATAAGTTTACGGTACAGAACATAAAACTTTGAATATAAATGTGTGTCTGATGACAAAAGCACTTCAACGATTCTATTATCACTTTTAGTTAGACGCGTGAAAGAAACATATAGTTACTAAACTGCGCATGCTGGTCTAAGACAGTCTAGCTAATATAATACGAAGGTCTGGAACAGTTTAGTTATTATAATACGATGCCTGGACAGTTTAGTTATTATAATACGATGCCTGAACAGTTTAGTTATTATAATACGATGCCTGGACAGTTTAGTTATTATAATACGATGCCTGGACAGTTTAGTTATTATAATACGATGCCTGGACAGTTCAGCTATTACAAAAGCTAGACTGCCTCAGACCATCGTATTATAATAGCCATACTGCTCCAGAAAATCCTATTATAGTGGCTAGACTGCCCAAATAATAATAGTTTGTCTGCCCCTAGAGCATCGTTTTATAATTTTACAATTAAAAAGCCATACTGCTCCAGATAATCGTATTATAATAGCCATGCTGCTCCAGATAATCGTATTATAATAACCATACTGCTCCAGATAATCGTAATATAATAACCATACTGCTCCAGATAATCGTATTATAATAGCCATACTGCTCCAGATAATCGTATTATAATAACCATACTGCTCCAGATAATCGTATTATAATAACAATACTGCTCCAGATAATCGTATTATAATAACCATACTGCTCCAGATAATCGTATTATAATAGTCATACTGCTCCAGATAATCGTATTATAATAACCATACTGCTCCAGATAATCGTATTATAATAACCATACTGCTCCAGATAATCGTATTATAATAGCCATACTGCTCCAGATAATCGTATTATAATAGCCATACTTCTCCAGATAATCGTATTATAATAGCCATACTGCTCCAGATAATCGTATTATAATAGCTGGACTTCCCCCAGACCATCGTAGTATAAGAGCTAAACTTCTTCAAACCATCGTACTACAATAGATGGACTGCTCCAGACCATCGTAATACAGTGGCCCCTCGCTAAGTCGTGGGTGTCGGGATCCAGGCAAAAACCGCGTCTTATCGAGGTCGGGGGCGTGCATTGAAAACATATAGAAAGCACATATAAACCCTCGGTTTAGTTAATATCAGGCAGTATTCGAATAAGATCATGATTATATTTGCTGTAAACATTGCAGTGATGCGTTGTTTATTTTGTTTGTGTCCGATATTATGTGGGTTGTTTGCTGTTGCTTACGACTTCGACGGTAATAGCTTCCAAAATAAACCTGTTTCATCGCAATTATAAACTTATTCGTCGGAATAACCATGTACAATGGCTATTCTGCCCGACCATCGTACTGTAATTGCTAGATTTCGCCAGACCATTGCATGTAATAGCTAGACCTTCCCCAGACCATTGTATTACAAAGCTATTCTGCCTCAACCATCGTAATATAATAGCTGGACTTCCTACAGACCATCGTATTATAATAATAGCTATTAACAATTAACAACAACATTATAATTGCAGTATTTTACAATATTCAACAAAGCAAGTTTATAATTCTGCCCAGACTACTGTATTCTAATTTGTAGACTGCCAAGATCGAAGTATTGTAATAGCCAGACTTACCCAAACCATCGTATTACAATAGCTATTCTGCCCCAGAACATCGTACTATAATAGCTGGACTTCCCTAGACCATCGTATTATATTCAGTAAATTTCTTTACCAAACATAGACATTACAAGACGGGCATGTAATATTTGTTTAAAAAAATCTCTAATCGTGTTTGAATAACATCTTGGTAATGAAGTTAACATTATTTATAACAGATATTGTGTAAATGTGTATGATAATATGAATCGAGTGGTTTATAAATACAACTAATACGTCATCTGATGATTTATACATATCATTTATTTGAAATATTATCATAATACATCTGGAAAGACAATTGCAATCTACCAGGTGTGCTTGTGATTTACATAAGAAAGGATGTTTACGGTCTACTGACTTGCCTACGCAAGTCAACTGCTAGCAAGACCATATTTTGATTGGCTCATGTGGAAACCCTGCCGATGTACCTAAATCTGGGCTATTTAAGCCTATACATAGGCTAGACTGAGGACATTTGTGATCCACCATTTCAACTGAATACCCCGTGTGTTGCTGCTGCGAAATTGTGAGACAAGTGATATACGGTTCAACCATCATTCTGTGTGAACTGCTCTGTGATTTCCTGCTTCCAGCAGTGCCCTCCAGAATAACAGCGTTCCTCTGCAAGCAAAACCTGTATTTCTTCGTCGTTGCGTTGCAGAAGCCATTGACTATTATTTCTAGATCCTGAAACTGTGAGTCATCACCAATGCACACCTCCCTAGGCAATACACTATTTTAGTAAATTTATTCATTGTATTATTCTGTGTTTTGTTTCTTGTAATTAAGTTGAGAGGTATTAAAGCCAGGAGCTTTAACTTGATATTTTGGTGTATGTGTATTTCCAGCGTGAGTTCTGTGGGTGCCCCTCTCAATAGCAATAATCATGCCTCGCACTGTGACACCTTGAAAAAAAAAACGCTTGATAAACAAATGCACAAACCTAGACACGTGCTGGAAGGTAGCCACTGACTCGTGCGATATGCATGGTTAATTACTCGTGAACAATACTGTGTTGTTTGAGCGGAGTAGGTATCGACTAAGTGGACAAAAAGATGTTGCTACTGGGAAGTACGTAGAAAGGTTAACTTCTATAAGTAATATATACTGTTCGAATAGTTGTCAATTCAGGGTATAAATATCTAGCAGTTTGTATCTGTTCGGGGAAGCTGTTTTTTTAAATAAGTGTGGATCTATATGCAAGGATCGAATTTCCCCGAATTAGCCAAACAGATATGCACATTTAAATGGAACTGTTGGAACTGTTGTTCAATCATCCACAGTTTCCGGTGTTCTAAGAAGATAAAAAAGACGATGGGTGATAATTTCTGAATAAAATTGGAATCACTTCAGTTAGACAGAATGTCCCTCTTTATTTGGTATATATATATATGTATGACTTGAGCTCTTACTGCGAGTCTCGGACGGGCTTCGACCGTGATTAATTCATCGAAAGAAAGAAAAGAGAAAAAACTACTAAAATTGATTCTACATGACAGCGACTACGGGAAAAAATTCTTTGCTATTACGCGTTACGTCAACATTACGTCTCGTATATAGGTAAATGATGACAATCTCAATTCATGTTTGTTTGTTTGACGTTAAATGTCTAACACCCACAGTTTAACACACAACAATAATCATATGATATACTTAGACTAATATATGGAACAAAGCACGAGAAGAGTAATTTAAATATATAATACATCTTTAATTTCGTTAAAATAATCACAATGACAAAAAACAGTAACCGGGTAAACGTAGACATGGTTAATTTATTTAATTACTCTTCGCTATGATTGTCTGAATTTCACACATTTCTTAGTGTATTCATTAAATTACAAACAGTTTTCGTAGACACGACTATATTAAAAGTGCTGAGAACACAATGTTTGAGATTAACGCAATATACACGGTGAACTAATCGACATTAAGTACTAATTGACAAAGGGTGTACGCCACATTGCATTACATTAAAAGCAAATGCGATATATTAAAATAAAATGTATTATATTAAACAATATATATTAACACAAAACGTACCACTAATTATCCATATTAAATACAATAACGAATAATTGATAGTGCCTATTCAATGTCATTGTCACATGTGAAACAGATTAGTTGGATATTAAATCTGAATGTTTAATTCACAGGCAATTACGTACATGTTTGGTATATAGTAATCATTAAAATTAACAATTACTCCTAAATTGGGTGCACAAATTAAACTATTAACTTCTTATGTAGTAATAGAACCACATTTGTAGGTTTTTACTTGTTCATGACATTATGCAGATATCAAACTAGCAGCTTATTCCATGTAGGCACAAACAAACAAATTATTAGTAGTGTAGCAGTGACATATATTATGCCTGATGATGTTAATATATTAAACAAATACCGATAATGTCATTATATGAAAATGAATTAATACATTGGGTAACTCAAAATATAAATAATTCACGCTATTACAATCATTAAAATTCTACCTTCGTTTGCGTGTACACTACACAATGAATAGAAAAAAAAAAAACAACATGGTGACAATAGATCGCCCGGGGCAGCTTGTATAGACATTGCTAGAAAGTGAGCTGTAGTTCAACATTGCCTCGATCGCAATCGGTCGGCCGTATTTTGTTAACACATTTTAACAATATTGTTATGAGAGTAAATGTGTTATCGGTCAAGAAAAAAAATTGTTCTCAAAACGTCTGCTAAGTCAAAATTGGTCACAAATACACAAGTGTTTTATATACATATATACATAGTGAGCTCAAGTCATTGTAAGTGTGTTACGTATTGTAAAGTGTCTTATATTTGAGAAGTTTTAAATAATATTTCATAAATTGCGATGAATTATGTACAACAAGGCATTATAGTTTTAAATAATATTCCATAAATTGCGATGAATTGTGTACAACAAGGCATTATATTCGTGACATTATATACAATAGTTATTGCACATTTCTCCATGACCATGCCTAGTTTTTGTTGTAAATCTGAAAAACCACAAAGAACTCATATCAGAATTCTGTTAACAATATCATGAATAAGATGAATTCGGCGTACACGTGCGAATAACAGTTAATGATCACATATCAATAATTTAATCTTATAATTATTCATAAATATATTGATAGGAACCACCTCAACAGAAAATTCACATTATATGTTGACAATAAAATAAGACACTGAAGAACCATCAATGTTTAATACAAAAAACTAGAATTCATATTTTGCGACTAAATTAGCAAATGTGATGTTTCATCTATTTAACTGGATGTCATTTTAATTGTTACAATTCGGTCGTAAGGCCACTTATACTCGTTTGTTGGACTAATATGACGAATTAATGTCACGAATGCACTCAAGCGCTCAGTCATTATTTTTTGCCGTCCTCCAAACTTTCTCCGCCCCCCTGATGTATGCTCATTGCCGCTATTGTTGAGTCTCCCAAAGTAGATGTGCGTTTAGGACAGAACACCAATCTTACACCCTTCTGGAATTGTCGGTACTTCAGTGCATAAATGAACGGATTAATACATGTGTTCAAAAATCCCCAGACTACTGTGAAATGATAAAAGCGGCTTCTGAAGTCGATTTGAACGCCAATATTCTGTGCCAGAAACACAAACTGATTCGGGGTCCAGCAGACAGCGTAGGCCAGGAACACCAGGAACAACATCCTCAGTACATTTTTGCGAGCTCGCATCATCGAACCGTCCCGCGATGTCGATGCGTTTTCTCCTGGGATTGGGACAGACGCTGCCGAGGTTCGCTTCTTCAAAACCAGGTAGATGTGAATGTAGGCACATGTCATCGTTATCAGAGGTAAGAAATATTGGATGAGAATGTTGGCGACACCGACGAATGTTCGATACGCAGGGGATGGCCATATCTTCACCAGGATGCAGAGACCGGTCTCAATGTCAAAGTATTGCACGTAAACCTTGAAGCTTTTGAACAAAAATGAGATGACCCAGACCATTACAAGAGCTATTTTTACTTTGCAATCAGAAAGGATGCTTGGATAGTGCAGCGGGTAGACTATAGCGCAGTAGCGCTCGAATGTTATCACCACGAGATTGAGTGTCGACGCAAGAAAACACGTCCAGAGAAGGTAGGCAGACTTCCACACGCGGCAGATAATCTCACCGAAGGCGTTGTTTAATGTATGAGTGAACTGTGGACCGAGGTACGTGATAACGATGATGGAACAAGTGATGAAATCGATTACGGCCTGGTGTACTATCAGATAGTTGGTGAGCGTGCGGAGCTGACGGATTTTCAAGAACACCAAACAAACAAGCGCATTGCCGAACAGACCAATGATTCCAATGGTAACAATGGCCATGTTCATCACAGTATTAACATCGGAGGTTGTCTCCCCATCTTCATTCGTTATGTTGGTTGCATTACTATTGTTGTAATCCATACTCCAATGACAAATATGTCTTCTTTCACTCACATAAGTTATTTCTGAAAATAAAAAGGCTCATTTATTAAAACAGTACGAGGCACGTAAGTATTATATGCTTGATTATATCCACGGTTTGAGTAATAAACTATAGATTTTTGTTTGCAAGAAATATTGGTTACTATAACATTTGGGGAGACAACATCAGGTTTTAAATGTCAACTTCACAAAAAACATCGGAATAAATATGCTCTTAAATTTTTGCATTGATAATAACATTGATAGGCTTTCAACAAGGATACCAAATTTTTGAATCATGCCATCTGTTCAATAAACAATTGCTACCGTTATCAGTTAGGTCCTAAGTCACGTTATTTTAACAGATGAGAAAGGACACATATTTATGGTTGCAAAATGTGAACTAAATTCATAAAGCACAGGTGAAGTATTATTTAGGCTAAGCAAAACAGGCATGGTATAATTGAATCCCAGTCAACTCATCATCTCAACTATTCATATCCGTTTTGACAAGCAAGCGAAAGATTTTCAGTCTTTCCTCTATTTTCGTGGGAACATTTCTACTTCAGTAACTGGACAGCAAACAGCTTAATAACCGAGCTTATTACGTGCAGAGAACATGAAACCCGTCCACGCGATCCGCGCCACACAGCATGGCCAGAATGCGGCAAAGGCCTTCAGATCTGGCTGTAGTAGGATGGTGAAAGTAATGGTACAGCATTGTAACAGTGAATAAGTACTGAGAAATAATTTTAAACTCATAGTTGCTGTCGACATAGGAAGT